TCCTGCTGAGAAAAGAGAAATGAAACATTGAAAATAAAATCATCAGCTCTATCTTAAGCACTGTGCTATACGTTTGGGAAATTTGGGGGAAATGTCTTTACAGTTTGGTGGGGGAAAGGACTTCATTCACGTGGACGCACAATAAATAATGGAGATCATGTATTTTTAATACTGTATTTAAGTTTAAATTTTGTAATGAGTTTTTTTAAAGCTTATGCCATACATTATACTTATTAAACAATTATATTAATAGACTTTCTTATGGAGAATTATCATTGGTGTTTTACGACAAATACGAGTAAATCATTTGGGTTCAGGTTTGCAACAAGTTTCTGATAATTTTAAGAAAAATTGCAGTTTCTATGAATTAACATTTTGACAAACCAAACTTTTTTAACCTACATGCCAGTAATCTAAATAAAAGTACTTTTCCTAAAGTAGGGAAAGACCAAACAAGAGAATATGCGAGTCATTCTAATCATGCTGATAGATGGCAATTTTTTTTTAAATTGCCTCAGAAAGTTGAAATGTTCATAGTATGTAAATACCTTGGTATGTAAAGGGTGATGGAACTCTAGATTATTGGAAAGCCCTCCTAAGTACTAAGCATAAGTACTTAAGTTTCTACAAACTTACAAAGATTCTTAGAAAAGATGAATTAGAACACTTTAAAAAGAGTATCTTCACACTTGAAGCTGTTTCATTCTTTGGTAGAAGAGGATCCAGTGATGACTTTAAGATACATCCTCAGATTCCCCCCAAAGCTACGTCGTTGAAATAGCCCTTGCTCTGGCTGATCAGTTTAACTTAGCTTTCTTGAAACCTATCCTTTACATGTATTATTTTCATTGGCTCCCTGGTCTCCAGAGGCACACTTTCTCCCTCTAGTGGCTAAGCCTTCAGATGGTTTATATTCTCCCTCCCCCAAAATGGAAAATTTGGTTGGGCAGGGGGTGATAGATGCCAGATTCTAGGATGGCAAAGATTCCACCACCCCCTGTGAGAATTAGACCACCTTGGCAACAGCTTGCCTTTTTGTAATATCTCAAATTCCTTTGTCATTTGCGGATCATGGTGTGTCCTATTCAGAGAAGTCAAGGTTAAGTTTACATACTAAGTTTGGGAATTCTGTTTCATGCCGCTGGGGTCCATAGCCCTGGTGCTACAATTTACAGTGAAATCCACTGTGGGAAGAAATCCTTCTGTAAACTATAGTAATTACTTTTGCTCGTTATTTCTCTTGACAGTATTTTGATAGTGATTAAAGGATGCATTTGTGTCTTTCCTTTGCCATAACTACACGATATACCTTTTAAAGTACATATTAGTATGTTCTTCCACAGTGCTTGAAAATATACTGCCAGGAAAGTGGAGTACCATATTCACTGGCAATGGAGCCAATTGGAGAGTTAAATTTTCACTTTAGGGAGGGGCTGACAGGAAGAAGAAAACGTACTTCACTGTGTTTCACATAACTGGTTCTTTTCTCATCCTTTCTGTGCCTTCCTATGAAAACTATTTCTTCCCAGCACAATTCCTGTCTTTACACAATGCATATTTCCTTCATGTCACAATATGTAAATATTTTATTCAAGTATTGAGTCCTAAAATCTGTCTCTCTCCTGGGATGTGTTTGCCTTTTTTTTTTTTTTTTTCTTTTTTAGTTTACCAGAGGGTGCTCGTGCTTGCAGAGAGGAGAAGGAGAGTAAAAGGGAAAAAGCACCTCACAGTGGAGCATGATCACACCACAATCCCTTCTCCTTTATCTCTATATCCTGTGTAGATTTGGGCAAACCCACCTAGCATGTTTTTCAAGCCTCTTGGGCTGGGTTTCGAACCCCATGGTTGACCTTGTAGAATCCAGCTTTCTTAATGAGTAGGCCATGGGGCTGGCTGGAATGTGTCTTTTTAAAGGCAAGAATTATGTCTGTTCTAATAAGCACTGTCTTCTGAGATCTAGCAGAATGTTTGACATGAACTGATACTCAAACACTGAATGGATGAATGCAGATTAAGTCACATACTCACCCAGTTTCCATCTATTAGATTCTCTTGTGAAGGAAAGAAAAAGGTAGGATATAAAGATCTATCTGATTCTGTAAAGGATTTGGTCACATCTTGGCTGCAAAGATCCTTGACAGGTCAGCTCTGGCTTATGGCCCATATGAAGGTTATGAACCTCTTCGTAGATACTATAAATTGAATTTTAAAACTATTAGAAATAAAAATGGTTCAAATTGTCTGTAAAATGCAATTTTGAGTAAAATACTTTCATGACCCCTCTGATAAACAAATTAGGTCATGTTTCCTTGGCAGTTTGTGAATCAGGATGGCTCCCAAGGAATGCAACAGGTTTAATTTTATAACCACTAAGTGTAATTAGCAAAAGGAAATTTTAAAAGCCAGGTAGCTAAAAAAGTACACTATGGAGTATTGGTTTTGTATTCTTTCAATGGTATATCTGATTTAGATTTAAAAGCCCTAAGTGCCCTTGAAAGAAATTTGGATAAAAATCTTATTTTTGTTTGCTCAAAGAATTAACTCCATGTTTTAAACTTTTGATTTTGTTTTTAGCAGAGAGTAGGAGGGGACAATTTGAAAAATTGCAGTTCTTTCCTAATATCAAAAAAGAAGAAATTTTTGGAAACTAATTACATACTCATTTTTTTATTTAGATAGCTTTTTTGTGCTAGATATAGAATATTATCCTTCAGAGTAGGTGCTCTAAAATAATTTGAATCCTTGAAAAAGCAAAAATTAACAAGCACATGTAGGCACCATGTTTTAAACCTGATAACTTATTTTTGTCAAGTGTTCTTGTCTTTGAAGTAGTGTTCTCTTTTTAAGTGGGATATGGAACAATGGTCTCACTTTCTCCTGTTGACCTACATTGGCACTATGAAGAAGCATAGTGCCAATGGGATGCCAGAAATGGAACCATAATTTCAAAGAAAAAATTCTCTTAAGAAATGAAATTTAGTTCATAAGTAAAGCATATTAAAACCTTCTAATTTTGCCTCCCTGAGCACACAAATAGTTTGGGATCTCTTCAGTTTTCAGGTAAATCCCACATGGTAAGGGTCTTCTTATTCCATCAACCTGAAACAGTATCTTCTAACAATTCTTAAGTGTCACTTTGTAGTTAGACACAGCCTCTTGGGCAAATACCCATGTCCCTAGTGAAGGTAATGTTACAATTTAAACTTACTGTTTGATAGAATAGTGCCAGATTACTTCTAGAGAGCATGTTTTGATGTAGAGGATAAGCTATCTCTGTCCTAAATGAGAATTATAAGTTTGCAAGTTAAACTAAGACAAAGAAGGAGAGGACTGGACAGATTTCTGAATAAAATTAAGGCACTGATATTTGACAGATGTCATTAAAATTCATCACAGTTTCTTTTGAAAAGCAGATGTGTTCTGAATTTGAGGAAATGAGTTCCCTTAATGCAAAAATGAAAGAGCTTTGAGCTTGGTCAAGTGGTGATGCTTGAAAACCAACTCTAAAAGGCAGTGGGAAGAACATTCTTCTAAGGAATTGTGAGTTTTTAGGACACAAAAGGTACAGTGAAGTTATTGGAATCCCCAAGAAAGTGTTAATACAAGAACAAAAAAGATACAATTCAGCTTTGAAGACATAGCTTAAGGATGGAGGATATGAAAGGTGTTTTCTAGTAAACATTAATGTAGATCCAGGATGAAAACACTCTCTATAACTTAGAGTGGTTTTTAGCAGCTGAAATGCACAATATTAATTTATTTTTATTTTA